GATATTACGTACATTTCCTCAGATGTCAACAACCTTGAATAAGGGTTAATAATAAATATTATATAATAATATAATATAATAATAATAAACGAGGGTTGGATTACGTTAAATAAGTCACATTTTTTAAAAATAAAAATTTACGTACCTAGATGGAAAACAATGTATTTTTTTTTAAACGGTTATGTTTAAAACAAGTGTTATAGGACTTTTTTTGTTTTAAATTGTGTATTATATCCATACCTTAAAGAAACGTACTATTTTCGGGGACACCCTGTATAACATATATATATATATATATATATATATATATATATATATATATATATATATATATATATATATATATGTTCTCGGACGCGACTAGTTCACGTTCAAGGACAGGTTATATGAATCAAAATATGGCTATTGGGCCAACTATGCCTTAATAAAATGTTGCTGAGAAAAAAGATACAGGGTATTAACTCATAAAGGACGAAGTTTTCGAAAATCTTTATTTTACATAAATAATACAAATAACTCTTATGAATGGACAAAACTTACTTAGAAAAAGACAAAAATAATTATTAAATATATTAAAACCTAAAAATATGGCCTGTTGCCAAATGGCAACGCTAGATTCCTATGGCTACATTAACCGAATGAAATAAAAGTAAAAAATATTCTTTGAAATTGAGAGATAATCGGCAAAAAACATTCTATAGCTGTGTATGATATTTAACATTACACTTTGTGCACAAACCTATTTAATATTTGGCGCATCTTGTTCTCATGATCGACCTGCATTCTTCACCTGCACACCTAATTTTCTTTTTATTTGGTACTGGTTCCAGTAAATGCCCAACTCCATCGTATCTAATATCATCAGATACTCTATAAAAGGAACGACTTGAGAGTGAACTAGACGGTCGGCCACCTTCTTTTGCAGGCACTCCGTATTCGGTCAGATAGGCTTGCACAATTTCACGCCTAAACTCTAACTGGGTCAACTTGTTGCCGGATTTTTTATATAGCACCCACGCATTTTGTATAGTCGCATCTAGCATCCAGGTAATCAAGCTCCAGTACCATTTTTTTGCCCTCATTCCTATTCTAAAGCGGTTTATATTTTCGTCCATTAGGTCGGTGCCCCCCGTTGCATTATTATATTTACCAATCAGGCATGGACTTTGAACCTGGATGATTTTCTTTTCAGCTTGTGAATATCTTTTCACGAGCGATTGTGGTTCCACCCCATAACATGTTGACGCTACACTTACGACGCTGTTATCCAACTATCTTACAACTATATTACCAGTTTCTCTCTCGAGAATCGACTCTACATCGCCCCTTTTGCGTTTCTGCATATAAGCTTCTGATTCTATAGGGCAGTTTTTGGGAATGCGATTTTCCTGTGTTGTTCCGGTAAGGCTATAGCCACGAACCTTTATATGTTTCAAAAGGTGGAGGCTCGTAAATAAATTGTCGCAGAAAAATTTGTAGGGTAATCTTGATTTATCATTGGGCAGTTCATCGAGCATTGTGACGAATGGAGCCGCACATGCTCCAAAACTTTATAATAATGATTATTTGCTTTGGGATCGGTTCCTTGATACATGTTGAAGCTTACAAGATAATCACTTTTAGTGTTGAGGCACCAAATTTTGTATCCGAAACGAATCGGCTTTCCTTTTATGAACTGTTTACATGTGTGACGTCCAAAGTATTTCACCATAGATTCGTCGTAATTTAATTCGCCTTTAGGGACGTAATATTCTTTATATTTTTTTTGTAAATAGTCAGCTAAGGGTCTGATCTTGTAATATTTGTCCCTTTCATCGATGGCTTCATTATTTGCAAGGTGGAAAAAACGCCAAATTGTAAGGAACCGATCTCTTCGCATAGCGTTCATGACCATTGCATTACCCATATCGCCTTTCGTATCCCAGTAAAATTTTTTTCCCGGGAGCCAATTATACCCCGATAAAATCAAAATGGCAAAGAAACACCTCATTTCTCCTGCGGAAATTTTGGGGTCAGGAAAGTTGTTCTGTAGTGCATAACTCGTGCATTGGTTGAGAATGTAACTAATTATATCCTCGTCGAAAAATAATTCGAACATCTCGACAGGTGTCAACGTATTGAATGGTTCGTAGCTATATTCTGGGAAACTAGCGGCATTGTCGAACAAATCACCCGTTATCCAATTTAGGGACTCGTATTCAATTTTCTTCACTTGAGAGGTAGTTTGTGGGATGAAACTTCCGCTGCTTTCCTCGGAAATATCCATCGCTTGAACTGCATCTTCTTCGATGTCGTCATCCTCCTTGTCTGCTTCATACATTTGCACCTCAACATTTGCTTCCAGCTGTTTTCTAGACAGATTGTCGATGAATCCTCCCCCATCCTCCTCGCCAGAATCTTCATCAGTGAGGTCTCCAATATTTGGGGGCTCAACATAAATATTTCTAACGTTGACGTCATCTTCGTAAACCATGTTCAAAGCTTCTTGTAGAGAGAAACCCCGTCTGAAAAAACAAGATGCCTGTAGATACTAGCGTTGCCATATGGCAACGCGATGAATAAAAACAAAATATTGTAAAAGATCGCTTTTTTTCAAGGGTTGTCAAATATTCACAGGGGGAAAATGACCTTTCTATTAGAGCATAATTGTTACTTTAGCCACTTAGATGTAATATTTAGTCAGAAGTAATTGACAAATTGAGCTACTTACACAAATCTTATATCCATTTTTACAACTATCAAAAACGGTGACTATAAAATCTCACAAACACCAACGAATTAAGTTTTTGTTAGGTGTATATCTTCAAATCACTTATTTTCTGCAGACCGGCACGTTCTTGGAAACAAAACAAACTAACATAACCTCAAAATAATAAGATTCGTACGTCAATACCAGTGTTACCATATAGCAACTCCAGTCCTTCATGGGTTAAAGTTAATTTTTGTTTTTCCCTAATGGTTTCCCTGTATATTTATAAATTGCTATCAAAATTGGCACAAAGGCATAATATTGGACAAGAAATAGTATTTTATTTACAATTACACTATCAAATACTAAACTAATAAACAAAGTTGCAACTAACGTAAGGTTTCCGTTTTGACGATAAATCAAAACTAAACACACTTTAACTTAAAAGAACTCACAAAAACTCAAACTAAATATTCTATATGGTCTCCTCCGATTTCTATGCCTTTTCTAATTCTTTTTATAAAGGATTTTCTGACGTTAAAAAAATATTATTCTGCCCCCTTACAAGATTAGCTGCATTTTGAATGTATCTCCAAAGTTCGTCTGGTGTATTATTTTCAATGAACAGGTGTGAAGTGATAAGGATGGAGGTTCTCATTTTTTAGAATTCTAACAATAGAAGACTGACTTACTCCTGTTGCTGCTGATAGATGTCGTAAACTTATTTCAGGATTTTCATCTACTCGAACCAAAAGTTCATCTTCTTGATTAGGTGTGATTTGTTTCGGTCGACCACCCCGATTTTTAGTGTGAAATGACCCAGGTTCACCTAAACTACGATATAATCTTGCAAAAGTTTTGTGATTTGGTTGCCTTCTGTTTGCGTATAACATTCCATACCTTCTGGCTGCCGAGCGACCGCAAAAATTTTCTTGCGTATACGCAAATCGTATCTCGCATTTCTTCATTAGTAAAATGATTGTGACGAGGTATTTCAATCGAAAAAATAATAATTACTTTTAAAAAAATGCAACATTACACTACACTGTCACATCATAAATAACTCTGAACAAATGACATTTACCAACAACAATTATCTGACAATCCAAAGCATACTTTTCATAAATGAAATAATATTTGAAATCCTTTTTTAAGACTCTAAGCAGTTCTACTGCGTTTTTATCGAAAACGGTTGAAACCATCATGTTTTAACAGGAGTACCAATTTTACGTAAAAATGATATTAACGTCATATTTTCTAATAAAATTACTAAAAAGTTTCATCAGAAAAAGTTTAGACTCAATTTGATCATTAGGAATGATCCACGTGGCGACCATATGACAAAACGTAAAATTGTAAATAAAATACTATTTCTTAGCTAAGATTATGCCTATGTGCTAATTTTGATAGCAAATTTATAAATATAATGGGAAACTATTAGCAAAAAACGACAACCAAAAATTAACTTTAACACCCTGTATCTTTTTTCTCAGCAACATTTTATTAAGGCATATTTTGCTCAAGAGCCATATTTTGGTCCAAATAACCTGTCCTTAGTCTATGTCCCAATAGTTATGACTCATCCTGCATATAAAATATATCTTTACTTCCTGCAATATTACAAAATGAAAGTGTCCCCACCGCAAAGGAAGCTGATGGTGGGAGAGAAAGTGTTCTGAACATAATATTTCCGTTGAAATTCGCTGACGGGGACAATAGTTAAAAAGTTTGTAATAAAAGTAAATTTATTGAATTAAAATAAATGTTGATTTAAATTGGTATAGAAGATACATATTTGCGTGATTAATAGACAACACCTACCTTTTAGAATCAATAGTTGTGTTTACATTTTTTTCTATATAAACTTACTTATTAAATTTTAAATCTTAATTAACCTCATAATACGTATTACCACTTTCTAATTATATAAGGGTTTTGATACAAAAATCAGAGCCACTATTTTTGGAGCTTAAGTGATTTCCTCAGTAATTACCAACAAATATAGCATCTTTGTTAAACTTTTGTGATTTTTGTATAATTATTTGAAATTCGTGCAATTTTCAATCCAAGTAACGCTCTAAATACGATTATTAAAAATCTGTAGTTCTTGCCGCTTTTATTATCTTAATCTCACCTTATCATTGTCCGTCAAACATTTTACTGATAAATTTAGATATAGATAATTCTGCCTTTGTTTATCTATTAGTACCTGCCGCTTGGATAGACAAATTCAATGATTGCGTCGATGAATATGTGTAGGGTTTGTGGATTGTGCTAAAATATTTAATACAAACGATGCAACGACACTAAAATGGGTGAAAATATAGTTAGTGATACCTCAGGGTAAGTTTTACAATTAAATGTATGTAAAATATATTTTAACAACTGTATGTGACTATAATATTTTTGGTCCCTTGTTAATTACAATTAAAATTCAAAAGCAGTATATTTAAGTGTTGTAGATATAATATATTTGTACCTGTAATGTTTTTGCAGTTATTATTCATGTGAAGTCTTTTATACGTAAAGCAACGTGATAATTGCATTTTGTAAGACCACACGTGTCTAAATTATTTATAAAATAGTAAGCTTGATAAGATTAGACTCAATGATATCACGTAGATTATTTAATATTTACTTAAAATATATAATAAATCTAATGCAAGTATGAGTTGACTGATTGTTTTGGTGGCAAACTTTGCTCTGAATAAGTTTGTATTGATTGGAGTCCTCTTTATAAATATGGTAAAAAAAAATTTATATTTTGTTTTAAAAATATGTTTCTACAAATTACATCCTTTTCAACTTCTAATTTAAATGCAAATTCACAACAGCAAATAAGAACAAAGTGCTATAATATTCTAACCAATTTTAAAAAAAAATAAATATTTTTTTGAAAATAAAGCGGTACACAAAAAAATTCAAAAGACGAAAACCTTCTTCAGGAAAAATCCTAATGTAGTTGTACTAAAACCTGATAAAACCAAAAAAACCATTATTATGGAATCTAATGATTACGACAATAAAATGAATGATCTTTTAAAAGACGAAACCATATATCATAAACTTAGAAATGATCTTACCAATATTTTCCAAAAAAGAAATAATGCTCTTATTGACAGATAGGACAAACATGGTTCCTCTTCTTCTTCTTAGTCGTTAACCTGATGCAGGTATCGTGATATCATGAAGCTCTTAGCTAAATTTCCCAGTGTTCCTTCACGTTTTTGCTGCGTTTCTTCTGCGATTCTAGCAGATTCTGACAATGGAGCGCCAATGGTAGCAACAATATGGTCCGTGTATCGTGTGGGAGATCTACCTCTATTTCTTTTGCCTTTTACTTTTCCCTAGATGGTAAGCTTTTCAAGACCATTTCTTCGAAGCACATGTCCAAAATAGCTTATTATTTGTTCTGATATTTGTGTTCTTAGTATTTTCGTTGTGTTTAACTGGTCCAGTATGGATTCATTTGTTCTTCGGGCCACCCATGGTATTCTCAGCATTTGTCTCCAGCAGTACATCTCAAATACATCTATGTTTTTTTTTGTTTTTCTCAGTAAGGGTCCAACATTCCGATGCATAAGTAAAAACTGGAAAAACTAGACTTCTTACTAGTCTTATTTTTGTATTGGTAGTTATTTCATGGCTTTTCCAAATTTTTGTTAATTTTGCCATAGCGCTTTTTGCGATTGCTGACCGCCGCTTTATTTCTTCAGTACAACCTCCTTTGTTGGTTATTAATGAGCCCAGATACACAAATTTATCTACAACAGCGATATTGTTTATCATGACCAGATGATTTTGATTGTTGTTAGCTCTGTCAATTATCATGATTCTCGTTTTATCTCTGTTTATTTTAAGGCCCATCGTTAAGCTTACGTCTTCTATCCGTTGTAGCAGATGAATCAATTCAGCTTCAGAACTAGCGAGGATAGTAGTATCATCTGCATATCTCAAGTTGCAAATCTTCTTCCCGCTATTGGTGATGCCACCGTTCCAGTCCTCAGTAGCATCACCGCATTATCCATTCACCATAGATAAAATATTATTAAAAAAATTAAATAGAATTGGGCTTAGTATGCAGCACTGTCTCACGCCCTTTGTGACCCTAAAACTATCGGTTAGTTCCCCATTTATTCTAACTCTGGCATAATTGTTATTGTACAGGCTTTTAATTAGCAGTATCAGATAATTGGGGACTCCCATTTTAGACAAAACCTGCCACATTTTACTCCAGTTGACCAAATAGAAAGCTTTACTATAATCTATGAAGCACAAATATGTTGTGATGTTGAATTCTCTGTATTTTTCTACAATCTGCCGTATGTTTAAAATTTGTTCTCTAGTACCACGTCCGGGGACGAAACCTGCTTGTTTCTCCGCAATGTTAGGTAGTAAAAAGGGCTTTATCCTCTCGAGAATTATGTATAAGATGCGCAATTAGAGCAATTGTGCGATAGTTGCTACATAAATCTTTCGCTCCCTTTTTATGTATGGGAATATATAGTGATTGTGTACAGTCCTCAGGTCATTTACCTGTCTTTTACACTCTTTGACAAATTTGATGTATTATATCCACACCAACGTCATCATTTCAATAGGTATGTTATCTGGACCGGCAGCTTTCTGACTTTGTTGCCTCATAATTGCTGCTTTAACTTCACTTTTGAGTACGTCAGGTTCCGTCGCAAAACTGGCATCTTCTTGTTGTGATGGGGCGTCTGTGCTTTCCTCACAGTCCTCACAGTTCTCACAGTTCCATCATCAGTCGTCCTCAGTATTCTTTCCATCTGTGTTAAATTTTTTTTTAGAAGTGAGTAGAGTTCCGTTATCATCTTTGATAGCAAGGGACTGTAGTGTAAAGGAACGTGTTATCTGCTTAATTTTTTTAAACATGTCTCTGGTCTCAGTTTTGGTTTTATGCCCTTCTATTTCCACCAGAAAACTGGAATACCTAGGTCACGTGATAAGGGGACCAAAATATGAAATTTTAAGACTGATAATACAGGGAAAGATTCAAGGAAGAAGATCTGTTGGCCGAAGGCAGAATTCATGGTTAAAGAATCTACGTGATTGGTACCAATGCAGATCGATTGATTTGTTTAGAGCAGCAAGTTCTAAAATAAAAATAGCCATTATGATTGCCAACCTCCGTAGGGAGATGGCACTCTAAGAAAAATAATTTCCATGCAGATTTTGTTCAAGTGTGTGTTCTTGTCCTTTTTGCCGAATTGTTTTATTTGACCGTTCAGCGCTTTATAGGCCTCTTAATCACTTTCACTGTTCAATCCTGTGGCTTTTAAGCACTTCCTTTGCTGTATTTTAGTCCACGTGGAGTCTATTATCCATTGTTTTCTTCTTTCTTTTCTACCACTCTTTATGTTTTTCGCAGCACTATGCAATATGGATTTTGTTTTTGTCCATATGATATTTGAGAACTCTTCTGGATTTAATGATTGTTTGAGGTCACATAGCTTTTGCATTGCGGCTTTCTTGTATAAACATGGTTATATATCACCAAATAAAGCAAAATCACTTGCTACACAAAAGTATACCACCAAAAATTTATAGTTTTTCCAAAACACACAAGAAGAATTAACCTCTACGTCCTATCGTTTTCTGCATTCACTTACCCTTCGAAAATCTTTCAACGTTCTTAAAAAACATTATTTTTAACGTCTCAAATAAAAATCCTTATTATATTAAAAATTCTTATCACCTTATTTTTAAAATAAAAATATTCACGTACCAAATAACTATAAATGAATATCTTTAGATATCACTTCACTATTCACTAACATCTTAATAAAACTTGCCACTGACATCATTAAAAAGAAGTGGAATTACATAAAAGAGTGCACTAACATACCGTGGAAAGAATTTCAATTAGCTGTAGAGCTAATACACACACACACACACACACAATCACGCTAAGCGATCAACCCTATCCCTAGGAACACGTGTATACCAATATAGGAATGGGATCCACATGTCCGAAGATCAAACCGGTCACACTTCACTAGTTGAAGTGGTACCTATCTGACCCCCAGGCTTTTCCTCCACCCCTCCTCATCGTACGACTGACGTGAGGAGGCTATGATCTGAAAGTTACCTGAGATGCCCTGGGTAATGAGACATCTCCTGTTTTTAATGACTGAGGTTATGCCACCTAACTGTAGGGGTAGCCACATCTAGGCTTTTCTCCCTAATTACTTTACTGACTCTATTGATTTTACTCGGACTGCACTTCGGGACTGAAGTCCCTAACATAAAAAGAATAAAAATAGCGTGTGTGTTCCGTCCATGAAGTCGACAGCCTGGGCTGTCGACTTCATGTCAGGAAAGATATGTGTGTGCTCGGTCACTCAGCCGCCGATTTGGCAAAAATAAATTTTGTTCTCCTCGCCGGCTGGGCACCCGAGAGGGTCCGGCCACCAAGCTCATGTTTGCCGCACATGGTCTCAGTGCTCGGGAGTCGCGAAAGGATCAGTATTCATTTGATCCGCCTTAAGGGCCAATTCCGCATCAGCGGTATATAGAAGGCCTGACGGGTCTTCTATATAGAAAATTGGTATAAATTACGTTAAGTTAAGTTGAGATAATTGAATTTAAGTTTGAAATAAATCTGCTAAATTTAAAAGAAAACCAACCATTTTTTTTTTGTTTGGGGGTCTTCCTTGGCGATGGAACAATAAAATGCCTGCACAATTCTTACCCTTTTATTCTTACATGCTAAATATGTGTGCGGTGTGGTGGGGTGTGCATTGCAGGGTGTATATGGCCTCCACACACCCCGGTGTATATTGTCCTTAACTAAGTGCCTTGGCACCTGTACCCTCTCGCCAGAGTCCTAAAAATAAGATTTTTTTGGGGGTTGTTTTTCTGATGACTGCATTTTTTTTATTTGACGTTTTTGCGATCATCTCATTTTTCATTTATTAGTTTAGGACCCTATATCCGGCTATTTGCTGTTTAGGTCTTCTGTGTAGTGTCCTGGTGTTTGCATTGTAATTAGTCAGCTCTCTTAGCATGCTACTTGGGTGGTTATTTAGTCCGTTAAAAAGTTCATATGCCTTTTTATCCATTGTATGTAGGATTCTTGTTTGTCCTGAGTCTCTGTATAAATTTCTCAGAGGTACGTATTTTGGTAGATTTAGAGCATCTCTTATCAATTGATTTTGCGCTGTCTGTATCTTTTTCCTGTTTGTTTTACAGGTGTGTCCCCATGCTGCGGAGGCATATGGTAGGACTGGCAGGATAATGCTATTAGCTATTCTGATTTTGGTTTTAAATCTTAGCTTGCTTCTTCTGCCGATAAGCGTTGAGAGCTGACTTTTCAGCGC